AAATAAATAATGATTGTAATACTTTTGTCTCCGGACTACAGGTACTAAGTGCTATGGGTTTCCAGTATGTGCCATGTGTAATATATTTGTGGACAGTGATAGTCCTTAGGGTACTCCGGTTTTCCTCCCACACTCCAAAGACATGCTGGTAGGTGAATTGGCTCCTGTCTGAATTCTCCCTAGTATGTGTATGAATGTGAGTTAGGGACCTTAGATTGTACGCCCCTTGAGGGGTTAGGGACTGATGTGAATGTACAATAATATGTATGTAAAGTGCGGCGTAAATTGATGGCACTATGTAAGTACCTGTAATAAATAAATAGTTACATAGTTAGTCTGGCTGAAAAAGACAAAAGTCCATCCAGTTCAACATAGAAAAAAAAAAAAAGTTATAATCCTACACCCACAGTTGATCCAGAGGAAGGCAAAAAAACCCAGCAAAGCATGATCCAATTTGCTCCTGCTGGGAAAAAAATTCCTTCCTGATCCCCCGAGAGGCAATCTGATATTCCCTGATCAACTTTACCTATAAATGTTAGTATCTAGTTATATTCTTGTATCTAAGAAAGAATCCAGGACTTTTTTGAAGCAATCCACTGAGCTGGCCACAACCAACTCTTGAGGGAGTCTATTCCACATTCTCACAGCTCTCACTCAAAAGTAATTTGATGTACAGTTCAAGGTATCTGTTCCCATAAACTCCTCTGTTGCCATGTAGCGGGAAAAAAAACTCCCAGTTTTTCGGTTCTTTGTACTGAAGATGCTCTTATGTGCCTTGCATTGTGGTTTTGGAACAACCTGTGTAATTGCACAATGCTCAAATAAAGAATTTTTTTTTTTAAAGTATATATTTTCCTATTTTATCATCAGCTCCCTCTAGTGGCCATAATGTGGTATTTTCCTGATTCACATTGTATGAAGAATAACATTTGAGCTGGAGAGAAAATAGTCTATGAACATTTGATTTTGCCTCTATTTAATGGATGTGCGTGCTGTTTTCAAACAAAAACGAATAGCTCTGTAATTTTTTATAGATCCATATAAAATTAGACTGGAAACTTACACACACGTTAGATATTCATTCATATATAGATTCAAAGGGATAATAGTTCCTCTGGAATTCTCTACCCCAATTTATCAGACTATCGCCTACTCTGCTCACTTTTAGGTGATCTCTGAAAACCTCTCTCTTCAGGGAAGCCTATTAACAATAATATATATAAAGCTATTTATAACTCTGCCCCAAATTACATCACCAATCTTGTCTCCAAATATCACCCAAACCGTCCTCTCCGCTTCTCCCACGACCTCCTGCTCTCTAGCTCCCTTGTCTCCTCCTCCCATGCTCGTCTCCAGGACTTCTCCTGAGCTTCCCCCATCCTCTGGAACTCTCTACCCCAATTTATCAGACTGTCACCTACTCTGCTCACTTTTTGGCGATCTCTGAAAAACCTATCTCTCCAGGGAAGCCTATCCTGCCCTCAGCTAATACTGGGAATCTTCTACTCTTCCAACCAGTCCATCCCCCACAGTTACTACCTTTTGTACCACTAGCCCCTCCCTCTTAGATTGTAAGCTCCAAGGATCAGGGCCCTCCTATCCCTCTTGTATTGAACTGTATTGTCTCCCATTATATTGTAAAGCGCTGAGTAAACTGTTGGCGCTATATAAATCCTGTATAATAATATAATAATCATTTTTGTACAATGTTGTTTTCTTGTTTGATATGCACAGTAGTAGCTGCATACATAGTTAGTCTGGCTGAAAAAAGACAAAAGTCCCTTTCAATGAAGCTCCATGCACACGGGGCATTTTTATTACGTTGGTAACATTAGCTGTGTAAAGTCATGTTAAAAATTTTAGTTTTTCACCTTTTTAAGCATTTTTGCATCAGCGTTTAGCAGAGTTTTGCCGCAATTAGCTGTGTTTTCCCGAGTTTTCCCGCATTTGTGTTTTTTAGATTGAATATATTTATTAGAAATTTTTTCCGTTATGTATATAGGGTACAGAAAAAAGAAAGGGGGGGGGACAAATGAAATGTAAAATAAGACATTTGAGGAATAAACAATGCCAAAAGGTCTGGTGCAGACATTACAGTAAAGATATCAAGATGTCACCAGCATTTATGAGTAAAAGTAGACAACACGGGAGGACATAGACGTAAACGGGTTACCCTGAGGAAGTCACATGTTAAATGTGACGCAACGCGTCGGTATGTGGGGAGGAACGTCCGGTAACGCTTGGGGGTGGGGGTGACGTCATTTCCAGCGTGGGGGCCATATTGGATCACCCTGTTCAGATACCCATGCAGTACACACCCATAGCATGTGGTAGAAAGCTGGAAGGCAAGACATTTTAAATGTGAGTGGAATACTTTTTAATTTAAATGCTTATCTAATAAACCGGTTACACTATGGAGGGTCTCTGCTTGTATTTCATTATGACCCTGGGAGGAGCTGGCTCCTAGTTTGGTGAAGGCTGGAGACGCTTGTCACGACCCGCGGTCGCCGCCACCAACAGGCGACAATCGCACAGCCGCGACTAACAGTAATACATCACGCCCACGGCGTCAGACCCCAGACCTTCTCACCAAACTCGTGACCGAAGGATAGTCCCGGCCGATCCAAAACCGCGGTGTGACGCGCGCAACAAGGCCACACTCAGCCGCCCCCAGCACAGCGATTGCCCAGCTAATGGTCTACAATCTGTGACTGCAGCCTGAACGCGCTTGTTACTGGGTCGGGTTAATTATGCAACTAACCCTTCTACTGCCACCACACCACTTTTGGTGGGAAACTCCCGTTATCATATATACACTATAATGATTGAAATATTGATCTATATAGCACGGCCCGCGGACCTGCTTATACAGAGATATAACAAACAGTAGCGTCTCTTCAAAGGCAGGGATTCGTGAATTGCAAGTAAGCGCTTAGAAACAGTTTAACACTTTCAGAAAGAAAGATTTATTTCTAACAGGGTCAAAACAGGTGCGATAAAATATTTACAAAGAGATGTCACAAAAATTTATATATATATGAATATAAAGACACAGCAAAGAGATAATTAGGAAGAAGATTACAGGGTTAAGTTACTTGCCCATATGCCTGGGTTTGCAGATCCAAGTGCAGAGCAGAAAGGTTCTTTGACCTCCTCTGTTACGATGTTACCTTGGAGATCTCTGTTTGTGTGTGACAAGCTCTAACTCTCTTGAAAGTCCCTCTCAAGGGGAGGGGGGGGCTCTGACTACACGTTTTGGGAGTGGTCATTGGGGAACTCTAAACTAAACTACCAGCTTCATATCCCATGATATGAACCATACAGTTGACCTGAGGAATGTGCATTGACTCTGGTCAGTTTGATAAGGTGTGGGGCTTACATAGTTTTGGGTGGACAAAAGTTACACTTTAGTAGATGGCCTGTCTCCACTCTCATGTCTTCCTGGTTGTTCCACACCATCTGCCAGGAGGAGATGCCTCACAGGAATGCAGGGGGATGTGAGGAATGATTCGAGGAAGACCTCAAATAACAGAAGGAACAAGAAAAAGAAGAACTCCGCTTCCACTCTGATGAGCAGGTTTGCTACAACGCTTACCATCAGTGAGGGGAAAATCCTGAGAGGAATCTGTTCTTATAGGATCGGTTGATCCCTAAAGCGAGCTGGCCCTGTGGAGTCTAAGTAAGGAGGTGAGGGGGCATTTCGGATATTGAAGGATTGGCACGTGTGAATCACGCACACAGCATGATATTTGCATGAAGAGTGAAGTGGGAGGACCACTATAAGCATTGTGTTTTTTGGAAATTTTGGAACTAATTATTTGTTCACAGTTGATGTGCACTATTGTTTTTTTTTTCACATTATTCAATTAGGGTTTTATATTTCACCCTGTGCACTGGATATTCCCTATGAGAGGGAATTCACGCATGACACTATTTATTGATTTATTTTTGTAAATCTCCCCCGATGTGTACATTAAGGGGATGGTTTTATATGTATTTTGTTTGTATTCACTTATTTTTAGTACTGTTAGCGCTACACTGTGTTTTTTTTTTTGATGTCTATAACATAACATCTATAAACAAATAGTCCAGAAACCTTTAATTAGGCCCGCGAGAAAGATTAGAAAGAGAAGAAATGCAATAGACAGAAGAAAAAAAGAAAAAAGTACAGCCATGAAGGGGGGAAATCCACTAAGGGTGAGATAAGGAGAGATACATCGGGCAGTGAAGGGTTCAAAGACATGGAATCGGTAGGGGAGAATTGGCATGAGTTCCATTAGTCTAATTACGAGGGCTTAGGGCCATAAAGAAGATTATATCTTAGACGCGATTACAGCATACTTGGCAGGTTTGTGTTTGTTAGATTGAATATATTTTTTATTAGAATTTTTTTCCGTTATGTATATAGGGTACAGAAAACAGAAATGGGGGAACAAATGAAATTTAAAACAAGGCATTTGAGGAATAACAATGTCAAAAGGTCTGGAGCAGCCATTACAGTAAAGATATCAAGATGTCACCAGCATGTATGAGTAAAAGTAGACAACACGGGAGGACATAGACATAGTTAGTGGTTCCATCCAATATCACGATGGGTGAAAAAAAGGATGTCTATAACATAACATCTATAAACAAATAGTCTCAGAAACCTTTAATTAGCCCAGCGAGAAGAAAGAAAAAAGAAAAAAAAAAAAAACAGCCATGAAGGGGAGAACTCCACTAAGGGTGAGATAAGGAGAGATACATCGGGCAGTGAAGGGTTCAAAGACATGGAATAAGTAGGGGGAGAATTGGCATGAGTTCCACTACGAGGCCTTAGGACCATAAAGAAGATTATATCTTAGAAGTGGTTACAGCATACTTGGCAGGTTTGTTGAGGAGGAATATTGGATCCAAACAGACCATATCCATCATCTCCTGTGCTGTCTGCAGTCTCTGGTCATTCACTGCACTGTGTCCGCAGTCTCTGGTCATCTCCTGTACTATGTCCGCAGTCTCTGGTCATCTCCTGTACTGTGTCTGCAGTCTCTGGTAATCCCCTGTACTGTGTCCGCAGTCTCTGGTCATCTCCTGTACTGTGTCCGCAGTCTCTGGTCATCTCCTGTACTGTGTCCGCAGTCTCTGGTCATCTCCTGTACTGTGTCCGCAGTCTCTGGTCATCTCCTGTACTATGTCTGCAGTCTCTGGTCATTCACTGCACTGTGACTGCAGTCTCTGGTCATCTCCTGTACTGTGTCCGCAGTCTCTGGTCATCTCCTGTCCTGTGTCCATAGGCTCTGGTCATCTCCTGTACTGTGTCTGCAGTCTCTGGTCATCTCCTGTACTGTGTGTCCTCAGTCTCTGGTAATCCCCTGTACAGTGTCCTCAGTCTCTGGTAATCCCCTGTACTACAGTATGTCTGCAGTCTCTGGTCATCCCCTGTACTGTGTCTGCAGTCTCTGGTCATCTCCTGTACTGTGTCCGCAGTCTCTGGCCATCCCTGTACTGTGTCCGCAGTCTCTGGTCATCTCCTGTACTATGTCTGCAGTCTCTGGTCATCTCCTGTACTATGTCTGCAGTCTCTGGTAATCCCCTGTACTGTGTCCGCAGTCTCTGGTCATCTCCTGTACTGTGTCTGCAGTCTCTGGTCATCTCCTGTACTGTGTCCGCAGTCTCTGGTCATCTCCTGTACTGTGTCTGCAGTCTCTGGTCATCTCCTGTACTGTGTCTGCAGTCTCTGGTAATCCCCTGTACTATGTCCGCAGTCTCTGGTCATCTCCTGTACTGTGTCTGCAGTCTCTGGTCATCTCCTGCACTGTGTCCGCAGTCTCTGGTCATCTCCTGTACTGTGTCTGCAGTCTCTGGTCTGACTGGATGTCGCTCCATTTCCTCAAACTCAACCTCTCCAAAACCGAGCTTCTCGTTTTCCCTCCTGCCCCGCATGCCCCCCCCCCCATCCTATCCATCACTACTAACATCACCACCATCAATCCCGCCCCGCAAACCAAAGTCCTTGGAGTCATTCTGGACTCTAACCTCTCCTTCCAACCTCATGTCAAATCACTCACAAACACGTGCAGACTCCACCTCCGCAATATCGCCAAAATACGCTCCTTCCTTACCCCAGACACCACTAAACTACTTGTACACTCCTGAATTATCTCACGCTTGACTCCAAAACTCAAAACTGTCACCTTCCCTCCTCCCCTTCCCGGGCTCCCTGAAAAAACCCCCCTTTCAGGGGAAACCTACCCCCAATTTACCTTTTGCTGCTCTCCCCTTTATTCCTCCTACACTCCAAACCCCCCCCAGCCATTCCTCCCGTACCCTTTTCCCCCCCCCTCCCTTTATTTTAAGCTCGAAAGAGTAGGGCCCCTTTTAACCCCCGTGTGCTGTTTGTTGTTGTTTTAATGTTTTTTTGTATTGTCCCCCCCCCTATTTTACAGCGCTGAGCAAACCCTTTTGGGGCTTTTATAAACTCAATTTTAAGGGAATGTAATGGTCATCTCCCGTTCCCGTTGGGCTGCGGGCTCGGTTTTCTCCTGTTAATGTGTTCCGCAGTTTTCTGGTTTATCTTGTTCCCATGTCCGCAGTCTTGGTCATCTCCTTTTACTATGTCTGCAGTTTGGTCATCTTCTGTAGTATGTCTGCAGTCTCGGTCAAACTTTTTTTTTACTGTGCCCTGGGTGATCGGGGTACATGTTCCCCCCCGAGGAAATTTCCCATTATGGTCTCCCTTTTTGTCAGTGTGTCAGTCATGGGGGAGGGGAAATGCCTATAACCCAATTTCCCTATTTACATGCAATAGCTGTGGGTTGAACACAGTGGTTTACATGGGCCCAGCTGAAATTTCGGCTCTTTCCCCCCTTGAAACCGGGGATCCCCTGTGTTTAGGGACAAAAGCGCACCTCCCATCAAGAGCCGCAAGTCAGAAGGCGCATGCGGGGGTTTGAATGGGAGGGGTTTTATGTCGTTCCCCCCAGAACCCAAAAGGGGGAAAACCCCCTTGCGCCACATTTTCCTTATATGGCGGGTGGGAGGCGGTTAAATTTCCTTTACAGGTTACCCGTTTAGAGTTTAAAAGGGAATTTGGAAAACCCCCAGAATTATTGCTTTCAATTGACGGGGGATTTGGGGGACACCTCAATTTTGTGGGAAACACGTTTAATTGTGTACTGGACCCATGTGGGTTTTT